CCGAAGGCATTCTCTATCGTCATCCTTGCCCTACTGAGGCGATAGTTGAATGTGGCTTGAGCAGGAATTAGATTGGCTCTGTTGGAGAAAGGCTTTAAAAGCCAAGACTTTAATGGGTAGGCCGCATCACCAAGTAGTACCACTGGCATATTGGAATCACCAACCGACTTGTTCCATGTGGGGGAAAGAATGCCATTATCACCTTGAATGTAAATATGCGGGCATCGTGGTCCTCGCTGACTGAAGCCCGGGACGTCATGGACATGATTGCTATACACAATGCTCAGATGGGGCACAAGGTCATCATCAACACCTGTCAACACCAAAGAGATTACCGACTGTCCTGTATTCTGCAAGCCAGTAAATGACAATTGCTGCCTTCTTTAGGACACCCAATGGTTCTTCAACAGTGTCTTGGGAAGGAGAACGTTCACCTTCAAGTCTTCTGCAAATGAAATCCAATGTTTCCTTTCTCATTCTGAAGTTTTCTAGCCAGTCTGTCTCTTCAAAGAGCTGCAGAACAACCATACCATACCACTCCTTCCTCTGCGCTTGCGGAAACATTCCAGTCTGATCTGTTCCACAGCTATGACAGAAATGGATGGTTTTGACAATTTACTCCAAATCTGCTTATGGGACTTATACTTCGTATGAATGCACAGCAAATATACTTCTGCTCACGTGTGTAAATTTGCATATGTGAGCAAATTTGCATATATGCAATATTTCGCCATATAAACAGAGTATTAGACGACTGGGCCACCCGTTCCCCTAACAAACAGGTAACCAGTGACACAGACACAGTGTCTAAGTGTCATACACGCTATTATTACGAAATCTAGATTGGAATGGAGATCGTCTCCCGTTAATATTCGAATCAACTGATGCCGAATCACTCATCACTTGTATTATAGCCAATCAATTCCTATTTGTTTTGTTAAGAATTCACTTCAATATTGTTTTGCGTTTATGGAGGTATAAGGTGTGCATATTGTGTAAATTAGCCAATGAAAAGCCACGAAATCACATGCAATTAAATAATTCATGTTTGAATGACTATAAACCTACTATGTGGTATCAAGTTTACGTTCGAACTTCTAACAAAGCAAAGTAGTTTTACTTCCTAAATAACACCCGCATCTCGGCATTCTTATGCAGTAAACACGCATTTTAGTTTAATAAATTCGTTTCATTTCAGCTGAGACAACTTTCGTAATGGTCATTTTGCATAGCACTAGAACACATTTCAGGTGTGAAGACATGATTAAATTAATGTCTACTTTAAATAAAATAATGCATATACGACGTACATATAGATTTAGTTGAAGCGTGACATAATTCTTAATTCACAATACTATTGTTATCCACAGCTAGAAATGTTGCCCTTAACAAAACGACCAAGCAGGACAGCACTTTTGAACAGTATGACGCTTCCAGAGCCGTGGATGACAATCTTGGTGTGTCCATGGGCAAAGGAGGGTGCAGTCACACCTTACCTTCACAGTTGTCCAACGTAACGTGGTGGCAAGTGGACTTAGAGGATCTCTACAACATCACCACGGTAGAGCTCACCAGCAGAGGGGATTGTTGCGGTGAGTGCAGAACATTCTATGACCTATGGTGAGTGCAGAACATTCTATTGACCTTCCATGGTGAGTGCAGAACATTCAACTGACCTTTTATGGTGAGTGCAGAACATTCTATTGACCATCCATGGTGAGTGCAGAACATGCAACTAACCTTCCGTGGTGAGTGCAGAACATTCAATTGACCTTCCATGGTGAGTGCAGAACATTCTATTGACCTTCCGTGGTGAGTGCAGAACATTCTATTAACCTTCCGGGGTGAGTGCAAAACATTCTATTGACCTTCCGTGGTGAGTGCAGAAAATTATATTGACCTATGGTGAGTGCAGAACATTCTATTGACCTATGGTGAGTTCAGAACATTCTAACGACCTATGGTGAGTGCAGAACATTCTATTGGCTTTCTATGGTGATTGCAGAACATTCAAATGACCTTCTATGGTGAGTGTAGAACATTCTATTGACCTATGGTGAGTGCAGAACATTCTATTGACCTTCCGTGGTGAGTGCAGAACATTCTATTGACCTATGGTGAGTGCAGAACATTCTAACGACCTATCGTGAGTGCATTCTATTGGCTTTCTATGGTGATTGCAGAACATTCAAATGACCTTCTATGGTGAGTGCAGAACATTCTATTTACCTCTGGTAAGTGCAGAACATTAAATTGACTTTCCGTGGTGATTGCAGAATATTCTATTGACCTTCCATGGTGAGTGCAGAATACTCTATTGACCTATGGTGAGTGCAGAACATTCAAATGACCTTCCGTATTGAGTGCAGAACATTCTATTGACCTATGGTGAGTGCAGAACATTCCAACGACCTTCTGTGGTGAGTTCAGGACATTCTATTGACCTATGGGGTGTGCAGAACATTCTACTGACCATTGCGAGTGCAGGCAGATTCCATACACCTACCATTGTGAGTGCAGGCAGATTCAATACACCTACCATTGTGAGTGCAGGCAGATTCAATACACCTACCATTGTGAGTGCAGGCAGATTCAATACACCTACCATTGTGAGTGCAGGCAGATTCAATACACCTACCTTTGTTGATGTAGGCAGATTCAATACACCTACCTTTGTGAATGTAGGCAGATTCAATACACCAACCTTTGTGGGTGCAGGCAGATTCAATACACCAACCATTGTGAGTATAGGCAGATTCAATACACCTACCATTGTGAGTGCAGGCAGATTCAATACACCTACCATTGTGAGTGCAGGCAGATTCAATACACCTACCATTGTGGGTGCAGGCAGATTCAATACACCTACCTTTGTGGATGTAGGCAGATTCAATACACCTACCTTTGTGGATGTAGGCAGATTCAATACACCTACCTTTGTGAATGTAGGCAGATTCAATACACCAACTTTTGTGGGTGCAGGCAGATTCAATACACCTACCTTTGTGAATGTAGGCTGATTCAATACACCTACCTTTGTAGATGTAGGCAGATTCAATACACCTACCATTGTGAATGTAGGCAGATTCAATTGACCTTCTATTGTCGCAAGCTCCGACGTCCCCACGTTCATACAGTTTGGTCCTCACTCTATGAAGGATCATAATCCAATGAACTCACTCAATGTGAAAGTCAATTCTTAATTAAATTTTTATCCATTTTATTTTTTTATTTATTTGTTGTTGTTTTGTTGTTGTTGTTTTTTTGTTTTGGTTGGGTTTTTTGGGGGGGAGAGAGAGGGGGGTCGGGGGGGGGGGGGGGGGGGTCGGTATGTTTTTTGTAGCAGGTTTGGGTGGGGCTGGATTTGTCACTGCTTCAAAACACGCAGTTTTCGGTGATAAAATAAGCCAAACATTTTATTTTTTTTAAACAAGCATCTTTTTCAGTGGATCCTGCATGTCCTGCATGTACATGAAACAGTGTGCTTTGGTAAAACTCGAGGACAGTTGCAATTTTCCGTAATGTTCCAGCAGTGAGCTCATTTGACAAAACTGTTTCTATAGTTATTTTTCGTATGGTTCTTCTAGGGGAAAGGTTGGGCAACTTCACAGTTACAATGCACACGGCTGACCCCGAGACAAGCGATGCTCATGACCTGTGTTTGTATCACCCTGGTTTCTTTGGAAATGGAACAACGAAATCTCTCCCCTGTGACCAGCCGACAGTGGGGCGTTATGTCAAGATTACGCAGTACCCTCGGGCATCAGAACTGTATCCCCTCCAACTCTGTAACGTCAGCATAAGGGGCCTACCCGCTCAAGGTAAGACTTTTAGTGAGTGCATACTGGAGTGATGCGTTGGTACATGTTCGAGAGCGAAATGATATTTAGCCAGACTTCGACCATCCACGTCGCTCTAAACGCTATTATTAAACATTTTGACCGAGCTATGATAACTGAGGTTACAATTTCACCGTTTTCTTGACTTTTCATTAAATATCCTGAAACCCAGTAATGAGTGAGTGAGTTTGATCTTACGCCGCTTTTAGCAATATTCCAGCAATATCACGGCAGGGGACACCACAAATGGGCTTCACACATTGTACCCATGTCGGGAATCGAACCCGGGTCTTCGGCGTGACGAGCGAATGCTTTAACCACTGGACTTTAATAATTTCATACAGGTTCATTCATGTTTGGATGGCGTCCATTCAACATACACGAGTATATACAAAACTTTGTGTTAATTAATATCATATTAAGTACATTAATCTCGAATAACGGTACTCCAGATGTTACCAAGACAGCGCCAACAACTTCAACTGCAACAACAGCAACCACAGATGTAACCACGACAGCACCAACAACTTCAACTGCAACAACAGCAACCACAGATGTAACCACGACAGCACCAACAACTTCAACTGCAACAACAGCAACCACAGATGTAACCACGACAGCGCCAACAACTTCAACTGCAACAACAGCAACCACAGATGTAACCACGACCGTAACAACAACAACTACACCAACTCCCATGACCACAACTACAACTACACCAACGACCACTTCGTACAACCCTTTCCCAAAGCGCAAGGTTGTGGAGAAGTGTACGTGTAGATGCAAGGACAAGTCCCGCCCTTCGGACACTAAGCAGGTGAAGGAAGCGGCGCAGGCGATCCAGAAGGAGCTGAAAGTCGAGACAAAGACTTTGAGCAAGTCTGTCCAAAAGAAGGCGAGCTCCAAGGACAAGCGGTCTTCCTCCACCAACATGGGCTATCTGGCTATATCTCTTATGTGTGTTGTGTTCGGAGCAATGGTCGTACCAGACGTGGCGAGTCTGGTCACAGCCGTATACAACACGATAAAGGGAGTATGATACCGCGGTATTGTACCTGATCACTCCCAGACATATACACAACATCAGGACTGTATGATACCGCGGTACTGTACCTAATCACTCTCAGACATATACACAACATCAGGACTGTATGATACCGCGGTATTGTACCTGATCACTCTCAGACATACACAAAATCAGGGTTGTATGATACCGCGGTATTGTACCTGATGACTCTCAGACATACACAAAATCAGGGCTGTGTGATACCGCGGTATTGTACCTTATCACTCTCAGACATACACAAAATCAGGGCTGTATGATACCGCGGTATTGTACCTTATCACTCCCAGACATATACAACATCAGGACTGTATGATACCGCGGTGCTGTACCTTATCACTCTCAGACATACACAACATCAGGACTGTAAGATACTGCGGTACTGTACCTAATCACTCCCAGACATATACAACATCAGGACTTTATGATACCGCGGTATTGTACCTAATCACTCTCAGACATACACAAAATCAGGGCTGTATTATACCGCGGTATTGTACCTGATCACTCCCAGACATAACACAACATCAGGACTGTATTTTACCACGGCATTGTACCTGATCACTCTCAGACATATACAAAATCAGGGCTGTATTATACCGCGGTATTGTACCTGATCACTCTCAGACATATACAACATCAGGACTGTATTATACCGCGGTATTGTACCTTATCACTCACAGACATATACAAAATCAGGGCTGTATTATACCGCGGTATTGTACCTGATCACTCTCAGACATATACAACATCAGGAATGTATTATACCGCGGTATTGTACCTGGCCACTCTCAGACATATACAACATCAGGACTGTATTATACCGCGGTATTGTACCTGATCACTCAAAGACATATACAAAATCAGGGCTGTATTATACCACGGTATTGTACCTGATCACTCAAAGACATATACAAAATCAGGGCTGTATCATACCGCGGTATTGTACCTGATCACTCTCAGACATATACAAAATTAGGGCTGTATGATACCGGGGTATTGTACCTGGACACTCTTAGACATATACACAACATCAGGACTGTATGATACCGCGGTATTGCACCTGATCACTCCCACACTTATACAAAATCAGGGCTGTATGATACCGCGGTATTGTACCTGATCACTCCCACATATATACAAAATCAGGGCTGTATGATACCGCGGTATTGTACCTGATCACTCCCAGACAGTTACAAAATCAGGACTGTATTATACCGCGGTATTGTACCTTATCACTCTCAGACATACACAACATCAGGACTGTATTATACCACGGTATTGTACCTGATCACTCCCAGACATACACAAAATCAGGGCTGTATAATACCGCGGTATTGTACCTGATCGCTCTCAGACATACACAACATCAGGACTGTATGATACCGCGGTATTGTACCTTATCACTCTCAGACATATACACAACATCAGGACTGTATGATACCGTGGTATTGTACCTGATCACTCACAGACATACAGACATACACAACATTATGACTGTATGATAATAATTAAATTGTTCCCGAAAATACTTGAAAAAAAATCATTATCCTTCAGACTATTGAAAAAAAACAGAAATTGACTGCCACAAAAATCACATTGTTGCAAGGTGTTTTTCTTTTCCTATTTTTAAATGTAGCTGTAGCCGTAAATATATTTAATCTCGATAAAGAATATTGAATGGTCGTTCCCTGTTCGCTGAATACGCCGGTCTGTACAGTTCACTTCTAGGGATACATATAATCGCTGAATACACCGGTGTGTACAATACACTTCTAAGGTTACGTATAATCGCTGAATACACCGGTGTGTACAATACACTTCTAAGGTTATGTATAATCGCTGAATACACCGGTGTGTACAATACACTTCTAAGGTTATGTATAATCGCTGAATACACCGGTGTGTACAATACACTTCTAAGGTTATGTATAATCGCTGAATACACCGGTGTGTACAATACACTTCTAAGGTTACGTATAATCGCTGAATACACCGGTGTGTACAATACACTTCTAAGGTTACGTATAATCGCTGAATACACCGGTGTGTACAATACACTTCTAAGGTTACGTATAATCGCTGAATACACCGGTGTGTACAATACACTTCTAAGGTTATGTATAATCACTGAATACACCGGTGTGTACAATACACTTCTAAGGTTATGTATAATCGCTGAATACACCGGTGTGTACAATACACTTCTAAGGTTACGTATAATCGCTGAATACACCGGTGTGTACAATACACTTCTAAGGTTACGTATAATCGCTGAATACACCGGTGTGTACAATACACTTCTAAGGTTACGTATAATCGCTGAATACACCGGTGTGTACAATACACTTCTAAGGTTACGTATAATCGCTGAATACACCGGTGTGTACAATACACTTCTAAGGTTACGTATAATCACTGAATACACCGGTGTGTACAATACACTTCTAAGGTTACGTATAATCGCTGAATACACCGGTGTGTACAATACACTTCTAAGGTTACGTATAATCGCTGAATACACCGGTGTGTACAATACACTTCTAAGGTTACGTATAATCGCTGAATACACCGGTGTGTACAATACACTTCTAAGGTTACGTATAATCGCTGAATACACCGGTGTGTACAATACACTTCTAAGGTTACGTATAATCGCTGAATACACCGGTGTGTACAATACACTTCTAAGGTTATGTATAATCGCTGAATACACCGGTGTGTACAATACACTTCTAAGGTTATGTATAATCGCTGAATACACCGGTGTGTACAATACACTTCTAAGGTTATGTATAATCGCTGAATACACCGGTGTGTACAATACACTTCTAAGGTTACGTATAATCGCTGAATACACCGGTGTGTACAATACACTTCTAAGGTTATGTATAATCGCTGAATACACCGGTGTGTACAATACACTTCTAAGGTTATGTATAATCGCTGAATACACCGGTGTGTACAATACACTTCTAAGGTTATGTATAATCGCTGAATACACCGGTGTGTACAATACACTTCTAAGGTTACGTATAATCGCTGAATACACCGGTGTGTACAATACACTTCTAAGGTTATGTATAATCACTGAATACACCGGTGTGTACAATACACTTCTAAGGTTACGTATAATCGCTGAATACACCGGTGTGTACAATACACTTCTAAGGTTACTTATAATCGCTGAATACACCGGTGTGTACAATACACTTCTAAGGTTACTTATAATCGCTGAATACACCGGTGTGTACAATACACTTCTAAGGTTACGTATAATCGCTGAATACACCGGTGTGTACAATACACTTCTAAGGTTACGTATAATCGCTGAATACACCGGTGTGTACAATACACTTCTAAGGTTACGTATAATCACTGAATACACCGGTGTGTACAATACACTTCTAAGGTTACGTATAATCGCTGAATACACCGGTGTGTACAATACACTTCTAAGGTTATGTATAATCGCTGAATACACCGGTGTGTACAATACACTTCTAAGGTTACTTATAATCGCTAAATACCACGGTGTGTACAATATACTGGGGTGTACAATACTTTTGTAAGGGTATGTATAATCGCTGAATACACCGGTGTGTACAATACACTTAAAATGTAATCACTGAATACACCACATGGAAACACCAGACGGAATCCCTGTGGTTACTGAAAATAAACGTAATGACTCTATGTAACGTAATGACTCAATGAAATGTAATGACTAACGTAATGACTCAATGTAACGTAATGACTCAGTGTAACGTAATGACTCCATGTAACGTAATGAATTTACGTAACGTAATGACTTGATGTAACGTAATGACTCAATGTAACGTAATGACTCGATGTAACGTAATGACCTATTATAATGTGATGACTCTAAGGTATTGACTTTACGTAACGTAATGACACTATGTCTGTGTGATATATTCTCTGTATTGTTTCTGATATTAACGTTTTTTTCTGTATTTGTACAAATCTATTTCCGTGTCGACTCTGCCTGTCACTCGTTCTGTTGACGCCATTTCCCGCCGTGTGAGGGGCAGGCAATGAACTTGATCGGATTCGATCCGGGATCAACTTACTTGGCGATCACAAACCTGGCGGGCTAGGCAACACTGACAACAGATTTGTAAAATGAACATTTTTTGTCCATCGATTATCTTGTATTACAATATGGATCTATTTTATAGACTATATGAATTTCATTATGCTTAAATTAATTATTTTTTTTATCCCAAGAATATCTTCTTAATCACACGTGTGCGTTTGTAATGGAGTGTGATCACAAAATATAGTTATTCTATACCATCATTATTTCCTTGCTGTCTAGCTAGTATCACGTGTCAGTTTATACCACTGTTCTGCACGCTAGAACATCAGTATGTGTTTTCAGGAGCTTAAATTCGAGCATTTCAGTGCGTATATTTTCACATAGTCGTCTAAGGCGCCGCGATTCGCTGTGCAGAGTTGCGTCCCTCGGACACACCAGAAACCTATGATTGTGGGTTCGAATCCCGGTTCGCCCCGATTATGTTTCTAGGTTTGTCAGCACCATACCCGTGCTCGTGGGTTTCACCGAAGTGGTAAACGTCTGACACCTGCATCACTTCGGGCTTTCCTCCCACATTAAGCTGACACGCCGTGATATAACTGGAATACTGTTAAAAGCGGCATTAAACTCAACTCACTCACTCATATATTTTGTGGGGAATTTATGGGCTGTTTGTGAAGAAGGTGTTTCAGAACATGGCTTTTTTGTAATCCTAGTGAATCTTATACTATTACAGTTTCGCAGAGCTATACAGGGAAGTGTGGTGTAAAAACGTGTTCAGGCCTTATATTTTTTAGGGCTTGGGTGACGAAACCGCCCACATTAACAATCGCAAATTTAGAACAAAACAAATCAGAATGACTTTGTTATTTTCACAGCGCCAACTGTGAAGATCGATTTGACTAATAAATTAATCCAAGAGATTTAGATGACTGTGATATGAAACAGAATGTTTTCCAACGATAAATCGTCATTTTGTATGGCCTTACCGATCCAAATGAATCGATGATTAATGATTAATAAAATCATAGGCACTTTCACTTTCAAATTCCGTAAGACCTTAGTTTTTCATGTGCTTTTCACACGAGGTTTTTTTCGAAACAAAAACAGGACAGGATAAGCTACGCATATTATCTTATGTGAAAACAATTAACCATCCGGTACAGATGTGTCTTTGGTCCATTTTCTGGCCAGTTTAAAGATTTGAAAATATATTACAAAGTTTTAAAACAAAAAATTGTTTGTTTAGTTCCTCATTCAGACTGAAATAGTATTCATCGTGTAATATTTCACCGTCTAATTATTTGAAATAAAATCTGAAACATTATTCCTGTCAGTCTTTTAGTTCAATTTTTGCAATGATTACTGAATTGTTGGGCAAACGTCCATCACATTTCGCAGATGATGTCAGCAACTGGTATGACGTATCATTGTTGACTGTCAATCGGCAGTTAATATCATAATCACAAGCATTTTATTGTAATATTTTATATCAGATGAACCAGTTTCTATTGACGTATATATACTGTGAATCTTGAAATTAATGCGAGCGTGAATTAATTTCACATGCGCGAGGTCTTTTCTCGCATTGATTAAACATCGAATTTATATCTCACAATGATTATCAACAATAAGACGGCCTCACTTTACATTTTAGATAGCAGAAATACCAACATGGACATGAGAGAAAGAAAGTTGGGGATTTTACGTGCGCTTTCCGACTTCATGCACACTCACAACTTGGACATAAGAACAAAGAACTATATATATTCCACATCACTGTTTATTGAGCAGCACTTGTAACAAGTATATAACAATGTCATTCAAACACTAGAAATGGACATCCTCCGAATTGACACTGCTGGGGTCAAGAGTTCTACTCACTCGTATCCACCATCACTGTTTATTCAACATTTGAGACCGCAACGGCTGCAACGCCTTCATCATAAGCCATGTTAGCGGCAGCGTCTTCAACGGCCAGTTTAGCAGCAGCTGCCGTTGCCTCTCGGCCTCCTGTGCTGCAGCAGACTGGGTTTTCTCCATGGCAACAGCTGCATCTATACCTATCGGCCTCCTGTGCTGCAGCAGACTGTGTCTTCTCCCTTGCAACAGCTGCAGCTGTACCTCACGGCCTCCTGTGCTGCAGCAGACTGGGTCTTCTCCAAGGCAACAACTGCAGATATACCTCCCGGCCTCCTGTGCTGCAGCAGACTGTGTCTTCTCCATGGCAACAGCTGCAGTTATACCTCCCGGCCTCCTGTGCTGCAGCAGACTGTGTCTTCTCCATGGCAACAGCTGCAGCTTTACCTCTCGGCCTCCTGCGCTGCAGCGGACTGGTTTTTCTCCATGGCAACAGCTGCAGTTATACCTCACGTCAGCAGCAGCGTCTTCAACGGCCAGTTTAGCAGCAGCTGCCGTTGCTTCTCGGCCTCCTTTGCTGCAGCAGACTGGGTCTTCTCCATGGCAACAGCTGCAGCTATACCTCTCGGCCTCCTCTGCTGCAGCAGAATGAGTCTTCTCCATGGCAACAGCTGCAGCTATACCCCCCGGCCTCCTGTGCTGCAGTAGACTGGGACTTCTCCATGACAACGGCTGCGGCTATACCTCCCGGCCTCCTGTGCTGCAGCAGACAGGGTCTTCTCCATGGCAACAGCTGCAGCTATACCTCCCGGCCTCCTGTGCTGTAGCAGACCGGGACTTCTCCATGGTAACAGCTGCAGATATACCTCCCGGCCTCCTGTGCTGCAGCAGACAGGGTCTTCTCCATGACAACAGATACAGCTTTACCTCTCGGCCTCCAGCGCTGCAGCGGACTGGTTTTTCTCCATGGCACTAGCTGCAGTTATACCTCACGTCAGCAGCAGCGTATTCAACGGCCAGTTTAGCAGCAGCTGCAGTTGCTTCTCGGCCTCCTGTGCTGCAGCAGACTGGGTCTTCTCCGTGGCACTAGCTGCAGCTATACCTCTCGGCCTCCTCTGCTGCAGCAGAATGAGTCTTCTCGATGGCAACAGCTGCAGCTATACCCCCCGGCCTCCTGTGCTGCAGCAGACTGGGACTTCTCCATGGCAACAGCTACAGATATACATCCGCCTCCTGTGCTGCAGCAGACCGGGACTTCTCCATGGTAACAGCTGCAGACATACCTCCCGGTCTCCTAGTCATTTGCACTCGTCATATTCTTGTGGGCAACGTTCTCACCGGTGACTCAACGAGCAGCTTCACGCTTCAGCATCTCCTGCAACTGTTGAACAAGTGATACAAGACCGGCAATCATCCACATACAATATAATGTAATGTAATACCTAAGGGCTTTTAATATCATATCTTTTTATTTTAGTATATCAACAAGCAACAATTGCGATTCTTTAGTGTGCTTCACTCCTTAAAGACGTATCCCCATGTAGTTTGGGAGAGGATCTACGTCGGCTGATTGTGTTTCTGCCATCATTGTAAACTGTGGATATATTCGCAGTAACAGCTGACCATTCTATTTCAATTGCTTCATTCATCCTTACAAACACCATGTAGTCAAAACATACCTTCCATCGCGGCACATGGGGTATTTCAGTACGTCGCATAGACAACCAACACAAAACCGCGTAGAAATATCATCTCGTATCGGATGATTTTGGTCATTGCTTAAAACGTTCTTTTAAAAGGTTTTATGGCAGACGTGTGAAGGACATTTATAAACTTGTTGTTCCTGTGTTTTTTCATGTGAACAGTTGACATGCCTTTGCATGCGTTTGTGACGGGTGCCACCCGCGGGGCAGGATACGCTCACCTTTTCGCGGACACCTGGTATCGTCACTATTTCATAGTGATTAATAAACACATGCTCGTGATGTAGTCGGAATCGTACAATCGACTCTGCTTTTTGCAGAGATTTCTATTGGTCATGGAAAGGGTTTTGTCTCTTTTATTTAAATGATACGCTGATTCTCTGTGAACGTCCGCTTTCAGTTTATTTTAACACGCAGCCATTATATACACGTGTTTTTTGTGCGTTTAATGGAACGTTTATGTTTTATGCTAGCCTTACTTGTACCTTATTTCGCAACTGATACAACCGGCCTGTCACTATAAGAGGTGTGCTGTGCTTGTAGTCGGTTAATAACAGGCAACGTTTTTACCTTTGTTCACAGGAGTGAGACATATTCATTAGGGTACAGCAACTGAATAACAGAAACTACATCACTCGGTTGATTTTAGCATATATTTGATTTTCAATTGAAAATATCTTAAGATAGAGATATTATGTCCGAATAATTTAGTCTACTGCCGCTAAGTAAGCACTTTCTTTTAAAATATAATCTAATTTCAAACTTTACCCCCAAAAATTAAAAATCGCAAAATACACATTTGATGCATACTTAGACCTCTTATCTTTGAAAATCATTCGATTTGCTATTTTCGGCCCAAATTTACATTTACTTTTTTACCAAAGTCTTCATTGAACCAATTTGTTTTTACACAAACTTACCCAGCCACAGATTACTTTTTACAAATTATTGCAGGAATTAGTGATGGTTAAATACACATAGCCAAATTTAACAACAGTTCTGCAATTACATAAAAAAAACCTCGGTATCCTTTATTTTTTGCCCTCAGTATATAATTTTATATCTTATATAATCATCCCACAGCATCGGAATATCCAGTTCCTGGTCTGTACAATTTCACTTCGTTTTTTGCATGCGTTATGAACAAACAGAGTAACTATTGTTGTTTTTTCTTTGTTTGTTTGTTGTTTAACGCCACACGCAGCAATATTCCAGCTATATGACGGCGGTCTGTAAATAATCGAGTCTGGACCAGAAAATCCAGTGATTGACATCATGAGCATCGATCTACGCAATTGGAATACGATGACAAGCATCAACTTAGTCAGCGAGCCTGACCACCCGATCCCGTTAGTCGCCTCTTACGACAAACATAGTTGCCGCTTACGGCAAGCATGGGTTGCTGAAGACCTTTTATAACCCGGATGCACCGGCTTCATTGGAAGAAACTGGCCTGACTCTTATGTACAAGCATGATTGTTCTAATGTGGAGTAGGGGGCACGGGTGGCCCAGTCGTCTAAGGCGCCGCGATTCGCACTGCAGAGTTGCGTCCCTTGGGCACGCCAGAAACCTATGATTGTGGGTTCGAATCCCGGTTCGCCCCGATTATGTTTCTAGGTTTGTCAGCACCATATCCGTGCTCGTGGGTTTCACCGAAGTGGTAAACGTCTGAGACCTGCATCACTTCGGGCTTTCCTCCCACATTACGCTGACACGCAGTGATATAACTGGAAAACTGTGAAAAGCGGCGTTAAACCCAACTCACTCACTAATGTGGAGTAGCTATCCTTTTTCACAAACTAATTCTCCTACAAATCATGTTTTGGATTACTGGTCTAGTGGTTAAAGTGTTCGCTCGTCACGACGAAGACCCGGGTTCGATTCCCCTCGTGGCTGCAATGTATGAAGCCAATTACTGGTGTTCCCCGCTGTGATATTGCAGGGATATTGGTAAAAGCGGAGTAAAACCATACTCACTCATGCACTCTTTTCTACTTCGGATTCCACGAGCATAGTGTTGAGTGGGTGAGTTAGTCGTGTTTAACTCCACTCCAGCAATATCCTTCAAACCCGCGGGGACAGAGAAGACTGGGTTTCCTGCTATGCACCAATGTAGGGAATCGAACCGGGGTCATCAGCGTAACGGGCGAACGCCTTCGCCACTAGACTAACAGCCGCCCATTGGAGCATCTGTCGTTTCCTGCTGTTTAATGTCAATAACATATTTTAGGATTTTGGTATATTTTTTAAACTTGAATATAACATTATGAAAAGTCTAGAATAGATGTACTTGTGTAAAATATATTTATCGTTATAGTACTAATACAAAATTGAAATAAACTGCCGGGAAAAAATAAGTTTACACTTGAAAATTGGATTCGATTCGAAACGTTACATGGCTGAAAACGGTCGCCAAAACACTGCAAACATAAGGTCCAAAATACAACTATGATACCCGAATCAAATACATCACTAATAATTAAATAACCTTCATTTTAGCTACCATCACACGTGGGCGCGTCCGTGAAGATTAACCGAAGCGGTAATAAAATATACTCTTGAGCTTTGTTAGTTTGTCGCTATTTACATGAAGGGGTGAACGAGTGAGTGAATGTTGCGTTAGCCGCAGCTAGGTTATTTCCAACTACAACCGTGGTCATATTCTGGCCAGAAATCCCTTAAGGAAAAATAATTGCAGCAGTTATGTACAGTTGTTATCGCGTATTGTTAAATTGTTATCATGATTAATTAAAGTGAGTCCTTTATATCTGAGGAAAATATACAAAATGTATAAAAGTTAGTAAAAAAACGTTTTATGAACTTTTGATTTTAGATTTTATTTGTAACATCTTATTTCTTCATAGTTTTATTTATTTATTCACATGATTATTTTATTGTTCGAAATCATTTTTTAAAAGTTTTATTCGGTAAATCAATTATTAATAATATATATCTACATTTGGAATTTATATTTATCTATATAGCTTTTATCAAAAGAACATCCATTTTTGTAATAGATAATAAATTTCCTCTTTAAGTCGTTTTCACTTGAATACCAACAGCTGAAAATATGTTTTGTCAAAAGACAATAGGGTTCCATTATCAGTAGCACCTGTCGATAAACGGTTGATTAGCAAGTTGCGTCTTGTTTCGCGGTCAGGGGTGGTGTTCTATAATGAACGGTTAACTGTATAAGCAAGTAAAATATTAATTCGAAACCATACGATTTGTTTAAAGGTGTGTGTCCTTTTAACTGCTCGTTTATTGTTTTAGGGAAATTCGATTTAGACACCCCTATCTGCTTGTTGAAAACAGCGATGATCTGTTCCATCAAATGTGCAGCAAGGCCAAGATCGAGATCCGATTAGGTGGACCAATCGCAATGTTCTTTAACTAGGGTACGTCTGACGAATGGACCAACCGGAATCGTCGTAACATATCATCAAGAAAATCTATCATGGCGACGTTGATGTTTACAAATGGAGTCGGTACAGGGTGATGTTTGAAACTGAGCATGTAGTTGATAGCCTTTGAAATACACTCCACAAATTTCTATGCGTACAACGAATTGAACTTTCACCACAATGTCAGAAAGATACAGCTCGGAAACATCTGTGGTGAGCAGAAGATATGAAAGAAGCGGAGGTACAAATCGTGGCCAAATGCAAAATTTGCTCGGCGAGTTCAGAGGTCTGTACGAAGGAAAACTGAGAAGACTCGAGGAAGCCGAAAAAACAGGAGAAGAAACATCAAAGGTTAGTATTATGCCGTCCGCACTGATACGTACTGACATTTGACGTCTTATTTGTCACAAGGGTTGGCAATCTTTAGTTTAACATGGTGCATCTTTCATTCATTGCTTGTCAACATACTGATCACTGAACCTGCTGAACATGACAGATTACTCTACCTGTTTTCCTAGGTTGTAATTGGTAAATATGTTTTGTAAATGTTACTGAAAGTTAAAATCTGCACATGTTACATGCATTGGGAAAAGTTTAGGGCAACAGGTCCGTGTTTATTGAAACTTACATGGTAGGATATATTGTTAGCTGTGTTTGTACTTGTCCCCACTTGTACCATGTGTACTGCTGTCAATGTAATCATGGTCATTAGAGCCCATCTTGATAATTAAAGATTACACTGTAAGGGGAGTTTGTAAGGAGACACAATATATTATACACATTGCTAATAAATTTGATATACCAAGTTTAACGTGTATCATTTTTCACACAAATTATGCCTTGAATATGGAATTATCAGAGACGTTTTATTGTTCATATGTCACTACATTTAATCAGTTACCTAGATATGGTAATTCAAATTAAACCAGCATTTAACAATTGACCAGTGGTTTCAGCTGATGTTGAAAAGAATTTGCCTTTCAAAAACCGTATGCTGTGTTTGTGCAAGACAACACTCTCATGTCACAGATCGGTTTGACATTTTGTGAAAAATTCCAAACCTTTCACTGAACAAACAGGACACATGATATGGTATTGGCGGAGTTTGGTGAAACTGTTCCCTCTTTGTTTATCTGTGAAATGACAGATTGGAGTATTGATCAGTGTTAATCATATTAATCAGCATAGCACTAATACCTGAGTGAGGTTTGCCTCCAACACGTCCAGTACATGAAAAGTGTCTTTAATATCAGAATAGGAATCTGGAACATCAGAACATTGATCACCAGGCCAACAGAATAATTATGAACTCTTAGTTTTACAATAAAAGACTGTCTTGCCACTGGCCGGGGTTAACATTAGTAGACATTGGGGCACCAGTTTGAGTGTATGATCATGATGATAAGGCCGTGAAATTAACTCATGAAAATTATAATGAGTGAGTAAGAGAGTTTGGTTTTACGCCGCTTTAAGCAATATTCCAGCAATATCACGGCGAAGGACCACAGAAATGGGCTTCACACATTGTACCCATGTCGGGATTCGAACCCGGGTCTTTGGCGTGACGAGCGAACGCTTTAACCACTAGGCTACCCAACTGCCCCCATGAAAATTATAAGAATACCTAACCAAAAATATTTGTTTTGTCCTTTGTGCAGAAAGTGAGTTTTTCTACCTTAAAGGGAAACAACACTCCATCTTTAAAAGTATTGAAATGGGGATGGGCTTTTCTTCGCAGATTCAGAATTTGCTCAGTATGGGCAATGATTTTGACTGGTTTGACTTTTGTGTGAAGCAACAGTTATTGTATGATCAAAGAATGAAAAGCTGTATATCATAACAAAGGATATTACAATAAGGCACTACAGCCAAACTGACATGTGTTGTTGATCATGTTGATTAGTGCATACACAACTTGAAAGGGTGTAGTTATCGGTCAACAGCATATTATGCAGTCAGTAGACAGGTACATAGTATCTCTTCTGAGAATTCAGGTATATGAACAGGTGATAACAAACCTGGTCAATAAGAATGTTAAGTTTGAGATAAATTGTCACTAGATATGTTTATTTTCCATTTAAATTGCATTTTCTCTTCTGCTGCCCATTGTTTTATAGTCAGAAGTAAAGATTATTGTTTATATTTCTCGTAAACTAAGCCAGAAATAGCAAAAAATGCAGCTTTTACTATATATATGTAAAATAATAATAACCATAAGCATAGCACTCTGGAAAAAATGATTTGCTATTGCCGAATATGTTTAACGTATGGAACAATTTGATCAGTCACCTTTGCGGCCTCACACATATTTGGTACAGCAAATGAATAAAAAGACATTTGAATATCGTAATTACAACTGACAAAAGTTATATGTATAATAACCGGCAAGACTTTGTTGCAAGGAATGTATGTCAATATCAACATAAAGGAAAAATATCCCATACATCTGTTGTTTTTTGCAACTCAACTGATGCTGAAGGGGTCATTGTCGGCATAGGTACTACAGATATGTACCCCAGGTACCCTAGCCAAAATCAAAATACAGAAAATACAATAATAATAGTAATCATGGTAATGCTTAGCATACTTACTGATGATGATGATGATGATGATGATGAAGAATTTGTATACCACCTAATATCCATCAGTAGGTGTTCAGTGGTGTTGTGCATGCTAAATAAACACACGTTAAAGTCAGAGTATGTTGTGAAATGCTTTGTTGAACAGATGGGCTCTTAGTTGTGTCCTAAACTGGGATTTAGAAGATGATGTTCTTATTGAAAGAGTATTTCTTATAGTTTATCCTATCCCACATTCTGTTCTTGAATTACCACTTTGAGTTCACATGGTGCAGGAGATCCAGCTGTAGATATACATTTATTGACAAGGCCCTATTTGCTGCGTCATGTTTCTGATAATGCTGACACCTGGTTGTCTCCCCTGACAGACGAGGGTGCGTATCCTGCAGTCGTACGTGAATGACCTGAGTGAACAGAATCAGGTGCTGGTGCAGACGGTGGAGGAGCTGGAGAGAGAGGCCAACGAGAGAGTCTCCATCCTGGAGTCCAAGTTGGCCAAGACCTCCGGCACTGCGAAGGTCAGTTGCCTTTCTTGTCTACATTGTCTCAGCTATAACAAGAAGCCAGAAAGCTGACATTCAAAGCAATCTCATTAAAATCAGATCTTAGTTCTCGCTACCGCTAAACAAAGATCTGAGGACATCCAATTACTGGTCATGTCAGACCGACCTTGCGCGAACTTTGACCGACCAATGGAATGACCAATCAGAAGGCAGCTTTCTTGTGCTTTACGGCACTAATTTCAAATTGGCGACTACGCTTCGAAACATATTTTGACAAATTCTCAATTACAAATTTGAAACCTGAACATAAGAACATTCTGGAAAGGCTAATAGATGGTCTAGATTGTATGGATTCAGTCGTTGAGCCGGTAACTATTGTTTAGCAATAGCGAGAACTAAGGTCTGATTTGAATGAGATTGACATTCAAAGAGGGTCTACGGTGCAAAATCAGATTTGATCAAGAATTAAATATTTTTCTGTGTAATATTTATTTCATATATTCCAGCATTAGGCATTGGCACTAGTCCTGTAGTCCTTGCCAAACTGCCATATGCATGATATGGTTAAGGTATCAAAAGGACTACGGGAAATTTTAAGGGTTTTGCTATATGTTATCACTACGAGGACTAGTGGATTAAAAGTGTTAGTTTCTACTGCTGTATTCTACATTAAGAGGATGTACCTCATCTTGCCCCAAAATTTATTTTTGTTTTTCACACACATTGTGTTCAACAAGGTCATGACACGGATCATTGATTTACACATAAACACACCTTCGTAGAATCATTCATGTGTATGACAATATTGTCATGATATTTTGAAATTGTTTTCCCCTTAAACAGAACTTGCAAGTCTGATATTGCACCTGTAAGATGAAAGATAATCAAATCATTTTGATTGTTGATGTTGACGTGAACTTGTTGTGACTTAGAGTCTTGTGTTGCAGTGTTGTGTTGTTGTTTTCAGCTTACAGAGACAAAACATCAGGTAGATTGTGTTACATGTTCTTTAGAAAGACCTTCTGGTCAGTCACATTTAACCTAGAGGTTCTATGAACATTCAATCTACATTTTCATTCAAGATTTCTTTGGAGAAAAGTAAACATGCTTGAGATTTTATTTTGATTGAAAGCAACTATGTCTTATCACATAAAATCTGACATTGTGTTTTTTATATTTTGTAATCATATAGAAAAGCATTTTTTTAAACTTATCCTCTGCATATAACATGTATTATGCAATCTCAAACAAAAGAGTATCGAGCACAGCTTATAATAGATCTTGATAATATTGATGAAACTGTAGCTTGTTTGTTGGGATGTACAGCACTGTACATCAGCTGTTAACCTGGCTGCCTTGTGTGATATGCATGTCATTCAGATTTGTCAAATCTGCACATTGTCATCACTTGTTCTCCTACTGAGAGGTGGGAAACAACTCACTGAACTAGCACTTTAACTGTAGAGATTATATGACCACTTCCAACTAATGTCGATTTTGCACTGTCATTTTAAAAACCTGTACCTGCAGTAGTTCAAAGTTAAGCATGAAAGGCAATGAGTCTCTTATTTTAAAAATTAAAATTAAAATTTTATGAATTTAATTTTAAATTTAATTTTTATACATTTATGTTTTAATTTTATACATTTAAATTTAAATTTTATACATTAAATAGGCACCAGTGTGTTACCATGGTTATGGTTTTAAAGCTCTGTTAGGAATATTGTGAACACTTGAGCCACTAGTCGAAAGGTATAAGTAAGGTATATTTCAATCTCTCTTGTAATCTCTCATGTTATCATGGTTTTGAAATTCCTTGTATTACACCTGAAAAGACAGGATTATTATAGCAACATAGGACATACCCCATTTCTTGTCATGTTGGTCCAAAGTCTTGTAATTGGTGCATTGACTCCCTGTGCACTGAGGGCAGGCCATCACCGTGTCATCTTAAACATGTTGGTCCAAAGTCTTGTAATTGGTGCATAGACTCCCTGTGCACTGAGGGCAGGCCATCACTGTGTCATCTTGAACATGTTGGTCCAAAGTCTTGCACTTGATGTTCCGAACACCACTGAACGACACAGGCCACCTCTAACTCCCTTTCATCCCATGCTGGTGTAAGTCATGTAGAAACCTATTATGTACTCAAGCTGCCCTGCCCTAAACCATGTGTTACTTCACTGGAGTATGGTGTGCCAGGGTTTTCGATATGCAGTACTGATCCCATATAGGTGAACCTCCTCCAAGTGCCACAGCAAGAATCCAGTGAGAGTGCTTCACCATCTCCTGGCAATACTGGACAAGGTAGTTTGGTGGTACATACCCTTCCAGGGGAGACACTATTTTCATATCCAACTGGTCCACGGCTTGTTTTGGAGAATTGGTTATGTAAAGTAATTAGATTTTGGTAGAAACGAAGAAGTCACTCTAGATTTCCACTAGTCTTGGTTGAACAGGCTCGTAGCCTTGTCTGACCCTGTCCTCCTGGTTCATCCAAGTACTGACCTGTGACACATTGGGGGGCAAACACCCCATGCCTAGAAGAGAACTCTCTCCTGATAACAGTTGTGTAATATTGCAATAATCCTCACACAACAACCTTCTATATCCCCACTCTCGCCTCCACTCTGCCACCATACATCACCTCCATGCACATATTGTGACATGAGCCTCGCACAACTCCCGAGTCTTCCTCTCCTGTGGACAGTCTTCCAAGTGACTGTGAAGTCCCTGTGCGTCTAACTCGTGTTTGAGCACTGACATCTTATGAGTTCCCCCAGAACCACCCCCAAAGATTACACAGAACAGCCCCGTCTCCCCACAACTCTCCCAGCCGGGGACAATGCCAGGAAACTGTCAAGAATTGTAGCTAAGAGAGTATGCTTGAGTCTTTTTATGGTTGGAGACTAAACAAGGGGATTACAGTATATGACAGCTCGGTGTGAAGACGTTTTTGTAGTGCTATATTTTGCCTTGTGCAGATTGGAGATATTTAGCAATGAGTTTGGATCAATTCAAGGTCGTGACCCAAGAGGTGAGATCTCTTTTATGTTCAGATTAGGCTAAAAGTGTTTTTTTAATTATTAACGTGTGCCTTATTGTTTGGTGCAGATGCTGCAGCTTACATCATTTCTTTATTGAATTTATTGTAATTTTTGTGGTGTAAAAACATTACTGTTAGATTACCTGATGATTGTTTTAAAAATAGCTTCATTAGGAGTTTAAGAACATGTATATCAGTTTATCAATAGCTTATTGCTGTATGTCTGAAGAATTACTTTCAGCATTCAGTAAGATTTTAGTGTAAACAAATGATTTCTTTATCATTAAGGGTGCACAGATGGCCCAGAAGTCTGAAGCGTTGCAATTCGCTTTGCAGAGTTGTGTCCCTTGGGCACACCAGACTCCTATGATCGTGGGTTCGAATCCTGTCAGCACCATAGCCGTGCTCGGGTTTCACCAAAGTAATAAACATCTGAGACCTGCATCACTTCCCCCATATATAACTGGAATACTGTTAAATGTAGCACTCACTCACTCACTCACTCACTCACTCACTCACTCACTCACTCACTCACTCACTCACTCACTCACTCACGATTGAGTATTTTCATTAGTATATTACACTTGTTGTGCAGAGGTAAAATGAGATTCATCTGAATTTTATTTAACTGGAAAACATAGAAAACAGCTTGTTGATTTGTTGTGTGGCGAGTTAGAAGTAAACATAAATTTAGTATGACCATGATTAGTGGTGACATTCAGCATTTGTCGGAGCATTTCCCTCCTTGCTGACACTGCTACTCAACTTGCTCAAGGAATAGAACTTGGTTAGTTATAAGTTCCCAACTTTTAATATCCACTGTTGAACGAATGTAAATTGTAGTCCCACCATGATCCATTGTGAAAAATATGCAAAATGAAGAGATGAACTGGTGTTTCTTTGTTGTTGCTTTGTTCATCAATATTGATACATGAAAGTACTTAAGTTTATGACTGAATTATTAATCAATGAATGAATTGTGCGGTTTAACAGCTTGATATTTCTAGCACGAGGCTCAAGGACTAGTGATCACTCATTATAAACCAGTTATCCTGAATCCTGATTTTTAAAGGAACAGAGTTTCAATGGGATGGTCAGGTGGGAGACTGTGATACTGACACCAAATGGTTTTTATATGAAATCCTGCTAATTGCAATTGGAGCACAGGGAACAAATCTTGAGAGTCTCTTATATTCAGCATTTATCAATCAGAGCTCCAGATAAGCTTTTGGTGTTGTGGGTATTTTACCCATGCATTTTAAAATCATTGGGTATCAGTAATTCTATCTGGGTATTCAAATTTCTGTTACCCACTAGTTTTTACACATGTGGGTATTTAAGTTAAATATTTAAAAACACTATTCTAATTAAAAACATCTAGTCCCTGCAAACTGGTGTCGTGTGGGTTTTGAGAGCTTTATAGGTCTCAAGAATACCACATACTTCCACAAGAAAGTGTGATTGCAAATGATCATGATGTAACTGTCATCGTGGAGTTTGACAAGGTTGACGGAATGCCTGTTTATAATTTCAAAATAAGTTGCTGATTTGCTAATCGAATACGCAGGGTTACTTCACAATATTTTGATGATACGCACAAGTTTTATTTTTGTAGCGTATCTGTAATGTTCGTTGCGTATTTGGTACGCTTGGATTTTATTTTACTGCTTATTTCTGCATTTCTGATGCTTATTTTACGCAGATACGCAGCTTATCTGGAGCTTATCTGGAGCTCTAATCAATACTTCTTGTATTCACTTGCAAACCTTTTCCAACATCTGAATGGCAAGAAAGTGAGGCATTGTGGACATGGAAGTTTTCTGTTTTCAGTTGTCTCATTAGACTTTAATATTCATAGATTTTGTCAGGTTAGAAGGAAGACATGTTTCTTACCTTCTCATTTCAAGTTTTCTCTTTATTTGTTTGTAATTAAAAAAATTAAAACTAGTGTATAATTTGACAAAATGCAATATTGATAATTATTTGGGCCAGTCGATTGAAGCCAATTCCAAGAAAATAGGTATTGAATATTTTGTCCTACAATGCTTGCTATAATTCTTCGGTGTGTATTTTCTTATTTTTTACATTTTTGAGTACCAAAATATCTACCTTACCAAATATGGCTTGCAAACTCTCTTTAAGACTGTGTAGAAGGCAAAACATTAATGTAAAACATTTTATACATCAGTTCATGAGACCTGGCAAGAATAGTATAGAATAACAATATATTAAAATATTATCTCTGTTTATCCTTATTATGTGATGTTTTCACATTATACTGAAAAAAAGTCCTCAATCCTCAAGTTCTAAATATTTTTTCAGAACAAAAAAGTCTCAATTATTTCTCAAAAATAAAGAGAGCTCTTAACATGGGTAGTTTAGTAAATTTGTCTGTGTGAACTCCGACCCCAGGTAATCATCGGGATCGTATCCATCTAGAGGAAACACCTGTGTGTTTTTAAACTGGACTTGTGAAATTAGTGGACAATAAGATCTGGTCATGTAAACAGAGTCACACAGTACATCAAGACGTCAGGTCATCCGTAATTGCTTCAACAAGAGGGTTGGTTGATCATCGATTTTCTGCTTGAATGATGTGGAGGATTATATTATCTGACATGCAAGCATTAAGTTACACATTCCTCAAGTTTTTTCCACTCAAGTTGTCAGCGGGTGGCTGTTGCATATAAATGTATCAGACTGTAAACGTTTGCACTATAAGACACTGTAAGACACTTCATCATTTACACCTATAACACACAGGTCATTAGACAGCTGAAGGTTAGGGCACCAGGAGGACAGATCTTCACAATACAATACACAGTACTGACATTGGGGGACATGTTAACATGTCTATTACACAGAACGAGTGCTGAGAATGTTGACAATCACCAGCCTGGCGGTTATAGAACTACATGCGGGGACCTGTCTGTTCCCCAAGT